CCCTTGTCATGTGTTGGGTTGGGGCCCTGAGTTTGCCGTTCCTAGGAATGTCATCTGTTTTATTTACTTGTTAAAATGTAACTTTTTGCTGTGGGCAATTTCAAAACTATGTAAGTAGAGACAGTAAGTTAATGATCCCATTTTGCTCATTAATTGTTTCAACAATTAACAATTCCTACTAATCAGCCTTGTTTCATCTCTGTCTAGCCACTTCCCCATCCCACCCACCCTCTGGATTATTTTTTGAAGCAAATCCTAGACATCATATCATTTCCATGGTGGATATTTGGAAATACATCTGTAAAGTATGTTTATAAAAGATAAGTTGTTTTTTTTTTTTTTTTTTTTTTTTAAATATAACCCCAGGGATGCCTGCATGGCTCAGTAGTTGAGCATTTGCCTTCGGCTCAGGTCGTGATCCCGGGGTCCTAGGATCAAGCCCCACATTGAGCTCCCCACAGGGAGCCTGCTCCTCCCTTTGCCTGTGTCTCTGTCTCTCTCTGAGTCTGTCATGAATAAATAAATAAAATCTAAAAAAATGAATAAAATAAAATAAAATATAACCACAATGCCATGATCACCCTTACTAAGTGAACAGTAATTCCTTAACAGAATCAAATATTCAAGGTTCAGATCTCCAGATTGCCCACGATGGCTTTTTTTTTTTTTTTTTTTTGGTCATTCAATTCAGGATCTGAATATGGTGGTCTATACATTGCAACTAATTGATATGTCCCTTAACTTTCTTTAATGGATAGGTACTTTTGCCAACTTTCTCTTTATCCCTTTGCTGTTTCTCGGTTGAAGAAGCAGGGTCATTGGCCCTGTACTTTCCCACTATCTAGACTTGCTATTTGTAATCCCATATATTGTTTAACATATTCCTCTGCCCCACATATTTTCTGTAAATTGGTAGTTAGATTTTGCGGCTTGATCAGAATCAAGTTTATTATTTTTGGCAAGAATACATTGTGATGATTGTCCCTCTCTGATCTACAGCCACCAGATAGCCCTCCCACAATTACATGATGTTCTGTTAGAGGATGGTTTTTCGAAATGTCTAAAGATAGGAAGCATCCAAACACCTAATTATTCCAAAGGGAGTTTTCAAAAACAATGATTGTATTAGTTTTCTGTTGCTGCTGCAATAAATTTGCACAGACTTAGGGTCTCAGCCTACAAGTTTATTATCTTACAGTTCTGTAGGTCAGAAGTTCAACACAGATCTTCCTAGACCACGATCAAGGTGTTGGCAGGGCTGGCTCCTTTCTGGAGGCTCCAGGGAAGAATTCATTCCCTCACCTTTCCTGACTTCTCGAGGGCCCCCCACATCCCTTGGCTTATAGCCCCCTTCTTCAGGGTTCAGAGCCAGCAAGCTGTGTCTCCCTGACCCTTTTTGGAGTCTCCCTCTGAACACAGCTGGGAAAGATACTCCGTTTTGAGGGACTCAACGATTACACTGAGCCCACCTGGATAATCCAGAACACTCTCCCGTCTTGAATTCCTTAGCCTTATTCACATCTGCAGAGTTATTTTGCCATGTAAGGTCCCTTGTTCTCAGGTTCCAGGGATTGGGATGGGGACATTTCCAGGGGGCCATTTTTCTGGATAGCACGATGCTCATCCACTCTTAAAAATTAGCACCATTGCCATACTGACAGGCGATTGATAGAGCGTGGCTTGTTGCAAATGATTATGATATTGTAGTGACAGGGTTAGGTGGTGGAGGGCAGACTAGGAGTAATGAGCTAAGAATGTGACATTAGCATAATTTCACACAGCTCTGCATAACTGTGTGAGTCTTGATTATTTCTGTATCTGTAAGTAGCAGCATTTTATCTTGCTCATTGCCCCTCAGGTGACCATCCTCCATCCTCTTAGAAATGCCACCGTGAGCCTGGAGAAGCTCAGGTCATCAGTATGATTATTAATTACATGCAAAGCATCTCCATTATCTGGGCCTTCTGTGTCTTTGGATTATGGAATGGAGACTTACTGTAGCACTTTCACATAGTGAGGAGGTGCCAAGGTCTTACAGAAATGATCCGAGTGGCACACAACTTTTGACTCTCGTTCTGTTTTGCATTAGCAAGATAACCTTTTGATATAGTTAGGTCAGATAGTGAGTTAAGGTTGAGAGAGAAGAGTGTAGTAGTATAGGTATTTTTTTTTTATTTATGATAGTCACAGGGAGAGAGAGAGAGAGAGAGAGAGAGAGAGAGAGAGAGAGAGGCAGAGACACAGGCAGAGGGAGAAGCAGGCTCCATGCACCGGGAGCCCGACATGAGATCTGATCCCGGGTCTCCAGGATGCGCCCTGGGCCAAAGGCAGGCGCCAAACCACTGCGCCAGCCAGGGATCCCAGTATAGGTATTTTCATTCATAATCTGTGTCTCTACCAGTTAAAGCAATGACAAGGCTTTAATGATTCTTTTCCTAATTGAAAACTGTAGAGGAGTCTCCTTTCCTCTTGTTAAATTGTGTTGCCTTTTAATCCACATTGACCTTTGATCCTTGATCCTTGATATAGATTATTCTGGGGATGCATTTGGAATTTTGCTGTAGCATCGGTCATCCTATAGCAGTACTAGGTTGACGACAGATTTATCTTGGAGGACATCCAAAAGGTTGTTACTGAAGACCAAAAAGACCTCATTATAAAGCAATTTTGCTATAAAATGGTCCCTTGGAACAATCCCTGGAGACATCAGGTCATTTGTATAGTTAAAAATGTACATAGTGTCAAAAAATGTTACTAAGGGGTCCTTACCTCACACCATTAATTTAAATAAATTCCAGATGAGTTAACAAGTTAAGTGTAATGGCTTAATTCCATAAAAAGACTAGGAAAAAAATAAGTAAACTTTAATATGATCTTGGGTAAGAAAAGACCTTCATGATTTCTGCTTTTGTAGGTTATGCTTTACCGTGAAACCGTCACTTAAAAATTCCGATCAACAGGTGAAGCTGCACGTGACATGTTGCCCTCACCTAGCATATTGCTGGGGTAGAGAGAGTCATTATCATTAGACTCAGCCCCAGAACATTCTTCCCAATGTACCTGAAAGCAGAGAAAAAAAGTTCAAAGAGCTCACTGAGACTACCTAGTTAAAAACAAAAACAAAGAAACAACATCACGTTTTATAGAAAGGATCTCGAGTAACTTGAATTCTCCTATCTCTAAATTTCAAAATCTAGCAAGGTAATTTATCTTCATTTTTTTAAAAACAAAAATGCTATTTTACTATACATTGTTTTGTATCCTGCTTTTTTTCACTTAATAACAAGTCCTGAACTTTTTTAACACCAAAATGTTCATGTACAATATCACTTTTAATTGCTATATAGTGTTTTACTTATGAACATACTATATGTTTTTAAACCAATCTCTGTGTGTGGGCATTAGCTAGTTTCCAGTTTTTCACTATTATAAACGTATCAGTCTGGGTCCAATCGGGAAGAAGAAATTTGAACAGGGAAAATTTAATATTTAATCTCCTTGCAGGAGATTAAGGTAACAAGGAATTGGTTAGCAAGAGTTAAGCAGACAGAAATAGAGGTATAAGGTGCAATCACTGGCTGAGATCAGGTATCCTAGGACATGCCCCACGCCCCCAGGACTGCAGTCACCAAGCAGGTGTCCTTGTGGTGCTCAGCTGATGGAACTTGCTGAGAATCTGTGGAGCTGGAGGCATTCTGTTGTAAAATGGCCCAAGGAGAGGGTGTGTCGGGAGGAGTTGCCGGTCTCTGGGTATAGCTGGCCACTATACCCTGAAGGAGCTGCCAGTTTTGCAGGAACTTATCAGGAAAGCAGCCAAACACTGTCCTGCAGTGTTCCTGCAGCCCTGTCTATTGACGAGACTGGCAAAGGAAAAAATATTTAAGGGATCCAGATGCATTTTCACTGAGCAGTCACGCACAGGTTATCAGCGGATAACCAGCCCAGGAGAGGTTTCAAGGAATATCCTCATGTGTACTTCATTGCATACCATCTGCATGTTTTCTTACTTTCCAACATGTGGAATTGAGACATGAAAAGGTGGGCGTGATTTGCTATGTAGAAAGGTATGTTTCCTGTCCTCCCATGACAATGTTTAGGAGCTTCTCTTTCCCACATTAGTTAATCCTGGGCATTAATATGCTTTTAAGTCCTTACAAATATGATAATTTTTAAAAAGTCATCATTGTTTTTTATCCCTATGTTAAAAATTGATAGTCAAAGCTTTTATTTTTCCTTTGTTATCTTTTTTTTTTTTTTTTAAAGATTTTATTTATTTGTTCATGAGAGACACAGAGAGAAAGAGGCAAAGACACAGGCAGAGGGAGAAGCAGGCTCCATGTGGGACTCAATCCTAGGACTCCGGGATCACGACCTGAGCTGAAAGCATAGGCTCAACCGCTAAGCCACCCAGGTGTCCTTTCTTTGTTACTCTTTTGTGAATTTCGTGTCTATATCCTTTGCCCATTTACAAAATTGGAATATTTTTCTTATTGATCTGCTATGCTCTTTATGTATTAAGCATCAAAAAGCTTAAATGTTGGGGCACCTGGGTAGCAGTTGGTTAGGCATATGCCTTCAGCTCAGGTCATGATCCTAGGGTCCTAGGATTGAGTCCCCCATCTGATTCCCTGCTCAGCGGGGAGCCTGCTTCTCCCTCTCCCTTTGCTGATCCCCCTGCCTGTGTGCTATCTCTCTTTCTCAAATAAATGAATAAAATCCTAAAAAAAAAAAAAGAAAGTTTTAATGTTGATATATTAAATCTTACGTTATTTCATTTATAATATTTAAAAACTTTATCGGGGGATCATTTTAGTTTAAGGTGTGCGGTAGGTATTTATTTAACTTTTTTTCTTTATTTTCTCCTAATATTAACTGTTTTTTCTTTCTTCCTGACCTAAAGTGTTATTTTTACAGTATATTGAATTGCATTACATGCCTGGCTATGGACTTCAAATTGTTTTCCTTTGGTTTTTAGTAGCCTGTTTCACTTTTCCTTCCAGAACAGGATGCAGGCCTGGATGCCCTGTCCTCTATCATAAGTCGCCAGAAACAGATGGGGAAGGAAATTGGGAATGAACTGGATGAACAAAACGGTAAGAGCATGTCTGGGGTTGAGCACCTTTGCTGTTTAGTGTAAACACTAAAGGCATGAGTATTTGTTAAATGATTTTAATGCTGGAAAACTCGTGGAGTAGTTTAACATGGATGGATTATTACAGTTTAAAGCAGTTGAGGATGGTTTGTGGCAGATTTAGATTATAGTTAACTGAATACTTTGCAAAGAAATTTGATAAGAAATTCCTAGTCCTTTGTCGCTGCTTTTTAAAAATACTTTGTTTTACGAGCCACACATCCCAGGGGTTTTTCCTTTAATAATGTGATGAAATGTGATAATGTGATGAAATTGCTCAGAGCGTTGTACACTTATGTGTGGCACACTGGGGTGCGGGGACTCTGTGTCATCCACCTACCCAGTGGAGGTGGCTCTTCTTCCCTCATAAATACCATGCTGCGGGGCAGAAAAATGCTTGAAGATCTCTGTTCAGAACTCAGTGTGACAGATCTGGTTGGAGCAAGATTAATTTGCAAACCACAGCAGGATGGCTTGGGAGAAACAGCTTTGTTGGGGGCCTACCTGAAAAGCTCCTGTGCTTGTGGCATGTGATGTGAGGGGATGGGGTCTGTTGGAGTGCTATGGTGGTCAAAATGGAGGGGAGCAGGACAGATGCAGGAGATTGATGGCACTTGTACTGTGGTGGACAGTCGGGGGTCTGTGAGTGGAGATCCCAAGTCCAGCTGGGACATGTTTAGAAATGCCAGTGAGTCATCCACGTGAAAGTGTTGAGTAGACAGTTGGAGGTTTGATACCAGAGCTCAGTGAGAGCACAGGACCAATGAGAAGGGATGTCAGAACGAGAAGGGATGTCAGAAGCCTCTGCATGGAGGTGGTGAGTGAAAGCATAGGAACAGTGGGGTCTCCATCTATGTCATTGCACTTAATCAGTAACCTCTAGCCCTCTTTGATAGCGATGGTGCTCAGAATGGCTGAGGGGCCTCCTGGTGTCACATCACTTTTATAAGTGACAGCATTGAAATGCCAATGCAGGTCATCTGATTCTTGTGACTGCTTTTTCTACCACTCTGCCCTTCCTCTCTAAGGAAGATGACATAGGGAGAGAAAAGTGGAAAATTCTGAGGTTTGAGCTAGCTCTGTGATAGTGCCATGGAGGCTCATGATGGCATGGCTCCCAATAAGAATGGCCACAGACCTGTGAACATGGCAGCCCTGGGAATGGATGATGCTCATTTTGAAGGCAGGGCTGCACATGTCAAAACTATATAGCAAGAACTTCTCTCCTCGATCTCCACAAAGAATAAGTTCATTTCTTTCTATAGTACTATTACATTCATCATAAATAAATAAATTTCATCTATTTATCATCTATTATATATATATTTTTTAATATAAATTTATTTTTTAGTGGTGTTCAGTTTGCCAACATATAGAATAACACCCAGTGCTCATCCTGTCAAGTGCCCACCTCAGTGCCCGTCACCCAGTCACCCCCACCCCCTGCCCACCTCCCCTTCCACCACTCCTAGTTCATTTCCCAGAGTTAGGAGTCTTTCATGTTCTGTCTCCCTTTCTGATATTTCCACTCATCTATTATAAATAAATATGTGCTAAAGCAAATGGAGAAACCCCCATCTTTATAATCTTAATAATGGTTATTAATAGTTCAAGCACAGAGGGAAGGACATTTGAGTCCTTTTCCTGATGGGGCTGACCTGAATGTAGTAATTTATATATTTGCATATTGAGAGAGTGTTGGTATAGGCATAATTGTTCTTTTTTCTTTAAGATTTTATTTATTCATGCATGAGAGACACAGAGAGAGAGAGGCAGAGACATAGGTGGGGAGCCCGATGTGGGACTTGATCTCAGAGCCCTAGGATCATGACCTGAGCCAAAGGTGGATGCTCAACCACTGAGCTACTCAGGTGCCTGGTATAATTGTTCTTTAAAAAAAAACCATTTTTTTCTTATTTATTTATTTTACAGAGCAGGGAGGGGCAGAGGGAGAGGGAATCTTAAGTAGAACTCCTCACTGAGTGCCGAGCCATACACAGGGCTCGATCCCACAACCCTGAGATCAAGACCTGAGCCAAAACCAAGAGTTGGACACTCAACTGATTGAGCCACCCACCCAGGCACCCCTAATTGTTCTTTATCTAAAGGAAATACAGTCTCTTTAGTGGTCAGATTAGAAAGGATTCTAGCTGCCAAAGTGGTAAAGCCTGCCCGTCCTGTGATGTGCCTCGGTAAGCCACTGTGTAGTCATTTCTGAGGAGGTGGCTAAGAGCTGATGGTGCATTCTTTGGTGGGTGACTTGCTGACTTCCTGGGTGAGATCACCATGTATCTTTCCAGCATAAGCAGTCATGCCAGCATGTCCTTGTCTTGTCTGCCCTGTAGCCTGGTGGTTATCATACTTTGCAGCCTGTTAGAATCACTTGGCAGGGCTGGGGGCGGGGGGGGGGGTGTTAAACTCCCTGAAGCTCAGGCCATAGCAGTGTTAGTTTTCTTTTGCTGCTCTAACAAATTACCACAGACTTAGTAGCTTAAAAATGACACATACTTACCATCTTACAGTTCTGGAGGTCAGAAGTCTGACCCGCATCTACCTGGGCTAAAAATTAAATTAAATTTAATTTAATTTAATTAAAAAAAAAAACAGCAAGGTGTCTGCAGGGCTGCATTTCTTTCTGGAGGCTCCAGGGGAGAATTAATGTCCTTGCCTTTTCCAGCTTCTAGAAACTTCCTCCATTCCTTGGCTCATGGCCCTCTCCTCCCATCTTTAGAGCCAACACCAGTGAACTGAGTCCTTCTAACATCACATCATCTTGACCTGTAATGTCTGTCTCTGTCTTCCGCTTCTAAGGACCTTTGTGAGTCCATGTGACCCACCCAGATAATCTAGGATAACTTCCCCATTTTAAGGTCAGTTGATTAGCAACTTTAAGGCCCCTTGGCCATGTACCATAACTTATTTACAGGTTCCAGAGACTGAAATGTAGACACCATCCAGGGACCATTATTCTGCTCCCCAGAATAACTGGGTACTTATACCAGTTAGGCCATAGTCTCCAGGGGTGGGGCCCACTCAGCCGCATCTTTAAGTCTCCCCTGATGGTTCCAGTGTGCTGCCAAGTTTGAGAACCAGCACCTGCACTGAATATCAGCACTCTCCTTTTGTGTTGTCTCTCCCATGCCCACTTTGCAGCTACAAATCCCATGCGTGCGTGCTGAAGGACACTCAGAGTTACGCACATGCGTGTACCATCATTGTCAGGGTTCTGATCTCATGTTTTGGCTCCATCCTTTTCTGTTCTTCCTCTGTACCTCCCAGTCCTCAGCTCCATTCCAGCCCCGGATGCATACATGTGTCCATAGACAAACAGGAGATATTTTTCCACTCAGTTGCCAAAATAAGCTGTTTTCTCCATGGTGGCCTCCCAGAGCGATTGCAGTTAGGCTGGTGGTTTTCTGATGTGCACATTTGCTCCTCAGAAATAAGGCAGAGTCAGCCACTTTCCTTCATAGGGACTGAGAGACTCTGAGGATAAAAAATTATATCCCTGCCAAGACTACAATCAGCCTTTATTCCTTTTGTGAAAATCAGAAAGGCCATTATATCTGTAGGTATTGAGAACAGGGTGACAGCCCCATCTGGAATTTTATTGTTGACCTGGGTGTATAATGCAGAGCCAGGGCCACTGGAGAAGGATACCACATTTGTTGTAAACATCTCCATTTGATTTACTGACCAACTGAATCAGCCTGTTGGTTTTTATTAAACAAGAAAAACAATAGGCAAAGATAATGGCCAGCTGGCCATTTTGGAATAAACAATCAAAACATTGCTAACAAAGTACATTGTACTTAGAACATAACCGCAAAGCTGAAGAGCCAAATTATCATCAATTTAGGAATTCAGGTTCTAGTCTTCTCACATAGAATTAGAAAGGGCCAGAACAGCACCAGTAACTGCCCTGTTCATATGCCAACGACCAAGCCTCATGAGGAAAAGGATTAGCAATTGGGTGAAAATCCCAGTATGGGAGACCTAAATTACACCTGGGTGTGGGGGTCGGGGAGCAGGTGAAAGTAGGGGTCGCAGGAGGGCAGGGTGGGGAACTGAACCAAGGAGATCACCTCGTGGAAATACAGAATTCAGTCCCCTTCTGTTCATGAAGAAACATGGATGGCCGGGCACAGAATGGGCAGTCATGGTGCTTACTTACCAAACAGTTCCCTAAAGTTTATGCTCAAGGACAAGGCCTTTTGAAAAGAATGCTAATGCAAGAAAATGAATAGAATCGACTTGACTAATATAGTTGTTCCTAAGACTTAACTTTGACTTTGACCCAGCCTTAATGTCAGCACCAAGAAGGACCATGGAGGCACAGTTCCTCTGGTAGAAACAGCACCAAGAATAGGCTGTTAAACAAATTTCTGCTAATGTGTGCCAATCGTCAACATTCTTTTTTTTTTTTTAAGATTTTATTTATTTATTCATGAGATACACAGAGAGAGAAAGGCAGAGAAAGAAGCAGGCTTCATGCAGGGAGCCTGATGTGGGACTCGATCCAGACTCTGAGATCATGCCCTTAGCGGAAGGCAGATGCTTAACCGCTGAGCCACCCAGGCATCCCAATCGTCAACATTCTTTTCGATGTTCAGATGTCCCAACTTTGGCCCAGTCCTTCTGATGCTTCTATCTTAATCTTTGAGCACTTCCTTGTTTTCTGAAAGGAATGAAAATGACAAAGAAGGAAACCTGTCTTTGTAGTGTCAGTGCTGAGGTTGAGGAGACCAGTGTGTCCTTTCAGAAAGCTAGAAAATATGACTAATGTCCTTGAAGGACACACAGTGACCAAAGATTCCATATACACATCAGTGAATTGCCATTGTAAAGGGCTGTTAGAGCTGCTCTGCTCAATTTTCATGTTGAGCATTTAGGAAAGTGACGTGGTAGACTATTATTCAGCCCTCCCAAATACGCATGTCCTGATTGTCCTGATCTCTGGAA